TTTACTTGTGAGCATTAAAGTATCATCGTTTTATGAACTGCAATTATTCTTTTTGATAAATATGTGTGATATTAAAAATAACTTTATGAGTTCGATATGTAAAGGAATTAATATTTAAAGAAATTTAAATTGTAACATTTTGATTTGAAATAACATTTCATTCAAAATCTAGAGTAAACAAACATTCTATAAAATTCAAACTTTATTACACAGATGGTTAATAGGACAAACAATAATAATATAATTATCACGCAAAGTATCAATTTTTACAAAGATCTGTAGCATACCCACATGAATATAATAAAATTAACTATGTAAAGTTAATAGGCACGTATTCCGCATTTTAAAGACCATGTTTAAGACAACACTATGTTGCCTGCCATTGGCACTGATTATCAACGCATAACTGTTCTAGGAAGAAATATAATGGTGTGAAATTATGAGATTTTCTGAAAATAGCATATAAGTTGAATTTGTAAAGAAGCAAACAGTTTCACCTCGATATTCAAATTTTTGTTTCTCTGAAATGTTGTTTTCATCCACGTAGACATAATCGGGTTAATGCAGAAAAATATTCATCATCAGGCTTCTCTTGTAATAACAAAAATAACACTTTTGTCGAAACCAATTTGTTATAATGTATAACTTTTCTACGCATATTTTACTTCATATATTATTACTTAATATTTTAAAAGAAGTATTAACATGATAATTAGTCAGGACTGAAGTTTTAGCTTACGTTTTTTTCTTAACATTTCTTTTCACTTAAACTTTTCTTTTCAGAGCCTGAACCTCACAATTCTTCTACTGAGAATATTAAATATCACAGTTTTCTTTTCAGCTTCATAACGTTTTGAGGGAAATTAAATGCTCATCGAACTCCACCCAGAAATCCAACTTAATTACTAATTTTTTCTTTCATTCATTTCGAGAAATGACATAAGAATGACGAGAAATGACATTTTAAGAAAGACCGCTATTTTTCCTGAGGTCTAATATGGTAATAATAAATGAATTCTTTGTTACATCAAGATAGTCTTTTTATCATATATCAGTTATCAGTTTTGTGCATTTTTCAATAACGAATATTGCCTGCTCGAGAGATCGTTCTTCTTGGTTTATTTTGAACTCATATTGGTGAGCTAACAATTTTATATGTAAAATCTGATATTACGACACATTTACCAGACTTTGACGGTCTACAAAACTTCAGCTGAAGGAAAAGGATAGAATTTTAAACACCTCCTTCATTTTATGAAGACTTTACAAAACAGGGGTTTAGAGTCTGAGGTGTCCGGGTTCCAAAAAGGAATTTTAGAGGCATGTTAGGAAGACTTATTTTTCTATTACTAGAGCAACGACTCATGACTAAGCACGCTAAATACAGGGAGGGCCTAGGAAAGGTATAATTTTGATATTCAAATCAACGCCATTATATGACATGCAAATAATTATTTATTTGGCCAAACACTGCAATGCTTTTTATTAAAGCATTGCCAGTTTTCTTTAAATTTCCTTTTTCTTCGAATAATGCATCCTTCAAATATTCTCCGCAAAGTCTAATGCAGTTAACAAGCAAATTACCATTATTTGCGGGATGCCAATTCCAGGCAGCTTCTTATCTGTCCAGTCCATTGTAATATATTGCACTGATCTGCTGCAGTGCAGAAATGTTTTGAATCACAAGACCTCATATCTTAGACGAGAATGAGCAGTCAGTGACAGTGTCATCTGATCATTACAAACAGATGTTACAGAATAGATATATTTGTTTCAGAGCTGTATCGTCATGAAGATCTCAAAAGAATAAGAAAGGAAAGCATCACGTCTTCCAAAAGAATCCAGCAATGCGTTTCAACAAATATCTCCTTAACACGTGCTTTCTAAAGGAGCAGATGTTTCATGGTTGGTTTGTTCTTTACAATTGTCAACATGCAACTACTTCTTAGGAATAATTGAAATATACGCTAGCAGTTCTAGAACATAGATGAATTCAGAGTAATGCTTTGGTAAACAACTGAATTCATCAATATACATGGTTCAAGAAACGGTGCAAAATCTGCATAATATAGTAGAGTATTGCATAGAAGTGCAGAGAATATTTGAAAAACGTGATGCTAAAAAATAAGAGGCGAAGAGAAGAATGTCAGAGTTATAATCAATGGTATTATATATCATATTGTTTTGTTGGGCAAACAAATAGTTGAGCCTCATTTCGTACAATAATCTCAAAACCATCAGACTAAATACGGTGGCCCACTATTTAGAAATTGATGCTCTTAATCTTTAAATAATATACTAATTTCAGAGCTGGATACTGATGACAGATATTGAGGTATTTAAGGCATAGAAAAGGTTTGCTATTCATGGTGTAAAATTAACTTCATTTTTATTTTTCGAGAAAGATGTGATACATTAAGTTCGCCTTCATTACTTTCCCCTCTCTTTCTGACTCGTTATTTTCAACTCAGTTCATATAAGCAAAATTTTTTAATGTCTGTAAACTACATATTATTTGTTAAATTTTTTACAGGTTTATTTGCTAATAGATTCATTGAAATTAGCTTTATAATATGAATACCATCCCTTGAGAGTTTGTTTGCTATAATTTTGGAAAGTACACATAAGCTTCAGTGTTCTCGTTTAATTTTCCGAATTTTGTAACTACTTGTTCGTACCTTAACGCATTTTTAAGGGCAATAAAATTTTGTAACTACATTTCATGGTATCTGTATTACTTATAATGCAATGAAATGCAGGTTCTAGGGACTGGTTTTAAAGAATCAAATGCCGCCCAACCGGAATAATGCTTAGTCACTCTGACTGCCGTACCAAATGGCCCAGGTTCGAATCTTGGAGGCGGCATGTATGTTTGTAAGTGTATAGTGTTTGAGCGGCATGATGACACTCAAAATATGTGGCCAGCCGAAAGTCCTCTCGAGAGGTTAGTCGTAGGAGAAAAGGGGGAAGACCCTCGGACTCGTCCTCCCAAGGCGCTTTCCTTCAAAATTCAAGACAAAACAAAGTCGTACTGCCACATGTACGGTGCCCAAGGCTCTTGCCAACGACAGGCGCAATATTGCCTCCTTGCCATCAGAAATTTCATGGGCTTGGAACGGCTATCTGGAAGTCTTAATATTCACCAAAAATAATATAAACGCTTCTGAGTCCAGGTAACTGTGTTCCTGCTAACTAGGAAATTCAGATTCAGGGATGAAATCTAAAAAACACTGTCACCGTATTAAGATAAAATATTCCCAATGTTATCAACGCGGAATATCTCGGTGTCGCTCTAAGCCATTCGTTCACCTGGTACACTCACATCGCTAGAGTTTGGAGCAAGGCATTGTAAACAACTATTAGGCGTTTTTTCCTGCTTCAAATTCCTAATTCTTCACTGGCAATGAAAAGGAGAATTTACCCTTCGCTCATTGAACTGATCATTTCATAGGCTTCTTCAGTGTAGGCAAACCCAACTGGCAAATGACATGAAAACACTGCAGTCCCTACTGAGCAAAGTATTAAGAACGCGTCGCTTTTCTTCAGAAATAGAAGCATCCACACTATACTATATTTACAGACATCCATGCCTTCTCCGGCATTCGAAACCCTGCGCTTCGGTACGTCAGTCAGCGACGCTAAAGACTCTCCCTGTTTGGGCGGTTACTGTTTTATTTTAATCACGCCATAGTAGTGCTGCGTTGGTGAAAGACACATATTTTTTTAATCAAGGAGTGCCCACCAGTGGCCGAGCTGTAAAAGCTGCTGAATACTGGTATTCAGTCTGGGATTAAAGTCCCGGCAAAAGGGTTACTGCACGGGAGCTTTCGGACCGAAAACAACTTGTGTGACGTGGATATAAGCTAGTTTCCCTTAAAAAATCCCACTAGGAACATTCTTCCCTTTCTGTGTAGTGCCTAACGGCGAAGTAATATAATAAATTAAATAAATGAAAATTAAATTAACAAAACATCTTGAAGAAAAATTCACAGTCTCTTCAACACTAACTTGGCTTGAGTTACAAAGCAAATAAGGCATGAGTAATATCTACACTTGCGCCCGGAAATACAGGCAATACTTAAATGGACAGGATATGTTTATTTACCTTATTGTTGACATCATGTAAAATTTTTTGTCAAATTATGTACGCAATGTTTTTAGGTATTATTAACTCGAACTAAGAATAAACTATTACAATCACTTTCTAATGAAAGAACTCAGCTGGTTACGTAGCCGTATGGTCAGATTCTTTCTTGTACAACAGAAAATGAGAATATCTCAGTTACGATTTCACTTCTTAGATATGTCTTAGATGAGAGACAAATATTAAAAACAACTTTGAACTGGCAAATATTACTAACTGCTTTGAAACGTTAAATAAGTATTTTTTCATCAATTACACGTAAAACATAAAACCATTTTAAATTAAATTCTGTGGTAACACGAGACAAGCTTGTTCACAGCCCAGCGATTAAGGGACCTGAAAATAATTAATCACAAGCTTCATATCCAGAATGAGTCTTTTAGATCCTACCTAATAATTTTTGCATTTATTGGGATTGTTTAATATTATGGGACTAATATGATCCCAAAAAATTCAAACTAGGCAGAAGAACAATAAAATAATAACGAGTTTGAGTATTACAGCTACTGAAAATTAAACTGAAATAGTTAAATTTAAGGCTTCGTATTGCTACTTATATGAAGAGAAAATTCTTGTAGATAGCATTTGTTTTTATGGATGTTGGCGAGAGATAACAATGCTAAATATACCATCATCACAATAAATATCTTTTTTGTTTGTTAATACCACCTTAATAAGCTTAGATTTGTGAAGAAAGAATTAGAATTTGCATATGTATTTAATTAGGCACGCCATTCATTTCTACTGAAGACAATGTTTTGGTCAGTTTTCACCGACTTTAAATTAGACGGCAACAAATATAAATAATAAAAATGTCATTGTCACTATAAATAGAAGATTCCATCCAACTCTTCTGCTTGAATTACAACCGTCATAGTCACAAGTAAGTATACAGCCTTGTAAAGTATCCTTTTCAAACCGGAAGACACCACACTGGTTATCCATATTTTCCAGCGTACAAGCACGTATGACGTGTTCTTCTTTAGTTTGAACTGTTCAAAGAGAAGTTTGAAAACAAGATTATATAAACAATATATTAACACTGAGGTTTAAAAGGACTGAAAATACTTTTGTTTTGGGGGGGGGAAGAAGCAAACAAACCGAGTACATTTTCAAAAAAGTATATATATTTATATATATATATAATAAATTTATTTCCTAAACAGTATTGATTAATTGATTATATTATCTCCTAAGTTTAATTAAAGTAGAATTATTTTAAAAGCGTGCATCCATACTGGTAAGTTATATTTTGAAAGATGTTTTGAAGTAATTTGAAAGCAAAATGTTAATAATGTTTTAACGGGGACTGGAGTTAAATCATCACGAAGAATAAAATTTCAATTGTAAAAGGAAAAATTAAAACATGTAATCATTGTCATTGATCGGAAATTAGTTGACTTTTCAAGGGGAACAAACCAACTCCCGTTCAATGAACAATAATTGATAAAAATACGTAAATACGAAAGTGTTTCGTCTTTACTCGAGTTATAAGTTAAAGCCAAACCGGCAATTCTAGTCAGGCCAAATATTTCCACGAATAGAATTATGAACCAATGCTGATACTCAAAGAACTTATTCTTATGAAGCATTTTAGTCAATTCAATTTGGAGTAAAAATCAATTTCTGTAGAGAAATCCTGTAAAACTCGAGTAACCGTCCCCGACACTTTCATGTTTATGCATTTGAGTACTATATTATTTGTAGAAATTAAACATTGGAAATTGTCATTATGAAATCGAATTCAAAGTAAAGTTGAAATAAACATAGAAGATTATAAAAAAGATAAATAATGCAAACTTTGTAAAAACAAATCAAAGAACAATATAAAAATAATATAAAAAATAATATAGAAAATAATATAAATAAGATCAGTGAATGTACATGAAGATATAAAGGCCAGAAAAGGTATTAAGTAACTTACATTCTTTCTAGTGGGGGAGTTGGCAAAGTGTTCTCTTCTCTTCATGTCTGACTCAGAAGTGTAGGGTGTCCGAAAATTCTTAGCGGCAGTAGGGGCTTTGAATAATATCAGTCGGTAAGACTTGGGTGAAGTAATTTATGGTAGTGGGTGGGACTTGGAATTCTTGAGGGATGTATTTTGTGGAGTTCTTATCTGAGAGAGACCGTCTGTTAAGATTTTTTTGAAAATACTAGTGAATGGAAATTAATTAATTTCTGGCTAATTGTCGTGTCGCAATGATTAAGAATTAAGAAAGGAAAAAGGCATTTTCGCTGTCCAAGAGCTAATAGACAGTCTAAAGGCAGGAAATAGGCCCATTTTTTTTAGTAACAGTATAGTAACAGTATATGTCTGAAGACAATTAGCTTTTTACAATATATACAATTGAGTAATTACACTATATACAAATCCTTCAACTGACAGTCATCCAACTTATACCGCCTTCTCAGGTTTTAGGAACAAATTATCATATCCCTATCAGTTAAATGATTTAGAGTGAGTATTTAACGCCTGCTCTTTTAAGGCAATGGTTGATAAATTGAAAGGGTATTAGATTATTTTTGAGAATTTTAATAAGGATCAAAATTTCGCGTTGTAAATCTATTGTATCTGTGCATATAAGTTTTAATTCGTTGTATTTGATTAATTATAGTATTGTTAATTACTTTTTTGGATATGTTGGAGTTCCAATTTATTAATTTGTTAGTATTGAAATTGAAGTTTCTTGTTTTGTCAAAAAGTAAAATTTTTTTGTAGTTAATGATTTGAAGATCTAGAAATCTATGCTATTTTGTGAATTATTAGTTTTATTTAGTTTAAGACAATTCGGATAAATTTCGGAGTTTTCAAGTTTTACCAAAATTATTAATTGTAATAAGGTCATCAATATATCTGTAGGTGTTGTTTGTAGTAATTTAACTCTTGTGGTTGTAGATTTTTTTGGAAGTTAAATTCTTTGACAAATAAAAAGATATTACAGATCGAGGTGCTGGAATGTAAGCCCATTGGCAATCCTCTGACTTGTTTAAAAAGTTTGATTTTGAAACTTGATGTAGTTATGAAAAAGTGTGCATTTTAGGTAGGTTTCCCATTTGTCAAGAGTCATGATATTGAGCATATCAGGGAAAAGTTTAGTTAGATCAAGTAGACTGGTATAGATTTCTTCTAGAGGAAGTGAGGTATATAAGTTTTCAAAATCATAGCAATTAATGTTTTGGATGTTAATGGTTATGAATGGTATTAATGACAGGAGTGTTATTATGAATGATCCAGCAATAGTTATGATTAGTGTTACAATCATTGAAAATAAATTTACAGATTTTATTAGTTGAATTGAAAAATAATAGTCTACATTTTTCTTGTAAATTATTAGTTCCATTAGCTATAAATCTGAATTTTAATTGGTGTTTTATGGAATTTGGGAATTGCATAAAGATTAGTAAATCTGTTGTAGTTTGCATTGAAAGTAATATTGAGTTTCTTATGAAAAGTTTTAATCCTGTTTATTATAGATGTTTCTGTAAGGTTGGCTAATTGATAAGTAGTTGCGTTGAGAAGTTCTTTATGAATAATTTCAGCGTAGAATTGTTTTCATATAATGCTAAAGTTATTAGTTGCTTTATCTATTTTTGTAATAGTAAAAGCTGTTTTAATTTATTAATATCTGATGTAAGTTGCGACCAATTCAGTGTACTTTTAAACTTGAGGTGACTGATTTCGGTGGATATGCGTTGAAGAATTTTAGCTTTCCATTTTTAGAAGGTATCTATGGGTAAATTCAGTTGATAGCTTGCTTTAACTATAACTTTGTTGATGTTGTTTTCGAAAGTCTTGTAACAGAAATTTGTAGTCATGTTTCTGACTGGTCTAAATTTTGTACCATAACTCATTAGTGTTTTTAGTTGATGGTTTTGTATGATATTCAGGTTGCCAGTAATTATGTGCTGGTGATGAGAATCTACGTAATTGCTGTAAATTGGTGTCTTACAATGTCATTCTGCAGTTTCATCTATTTCATGGTGGTTAGTAAGCAAGTTGCTTAAGGTCCTTTGATATTTAAATGCAACCATTGGTAATTGTGTCAACTGCGGGGAAGTAATCTTTACAATCTCTGATGATTCTTGAGAAATGAATATTGTCAAACTGCGGATGTAGAAAATTGACTTTAAAAATAAATTTTGCGTTGAGTGAGACTATTAGAGAGTCCGAAAAGACTAAAATCGAGAATCATGTCTTTAATGATTTGTATGTCGTCGTAGCTTTCTTGAATGAATTTTTTTAGTTTGATAAGGAATTTATTAGTACAGGAGTGTAACCAGTTGAGACGTTTTTTGGGAAAGTTGTCTGAGTCAAAAAAACATTTCAATTGTTTTTTTTTTCAATGCAAATGTATCCAAAGTGGATAAAAATCTCGCATTATTTTTTTATTTTGCTTCCTCTTATTCCTCTCTGCGTTTTGTTGCTGTAGTGCTTAAATTGGCTGAAAATAGACTTCTTAGAAGTATCTCTATGACTATGTATATAAGTGTTAAGTCCATATGGATAAAGTGAACGTTGTTTTAGTATATAGAGAGATTCCTGAAAAATTCGTGTTTTGTGATTGGGTATTATATCTAGTATCTGAAGTTGAATAGAGTTGAAGTCATGGTGTTTAAAGTGCTCTAATTCTGCTGTATTGAGTTTGTGATGGTGTACTTATTTTAATCTATTTTTTTGTGCGTTGAATTTTTTTTTTGATTTGAGCTCTATGGTTATTGATTCGAAAGTTAAGATTGTTTTTAGTCTGTCCTATATATTTTATATGTCAAGTGCCGCATGTAATCATGTAAATACAGTTAAATGTTTTTCATAGAAATTGTTTTTTGGGTTTATCTGTAGCAGGCATGGCGTTAAATTTTCAAGTTTGTCATCTAGTGGAATGACATTTAATGATTTCAATTTGAGATAAACTAGCAAGATATAAAAGTAAGGAGGCTGCTAACCTTCAATACAGTAAAGTTTTTGTATAAGAACTTTAAAACTTAAAAAAGGATGGAGATAATATATAAAGTGGGTACATTAGGTAAGAGATAAATAGCGCTAATATATATATATTAACCTTAACACTGTCTCATTTTAAACCAAAATTATTTAGATAAAGAAAATAACTTTCTAAGCCTATTTATCGTATTTTTAATTAACCCATTATTATCGTTTTAATATGTTTGCACTGTTTGCAGCCGACAATTTAGCAGTAAATACACAGAATAATACTCCCTTATCACCTATAACATCGTGTAACATTATAAATACTATCATATCCTATTTAAATTCGCCCACCAGTGGCCGAGCGGAAAAATCGCTGATATTAGATATAACATTTGGCTTTTTTGCATGAGAAGGTAAGAGGAAGAATTAATTCATTGATGAAAATTCTCCTTTATGGTTTTCAACCATGACTTCTTTCATCATAGTAATACTCTTTGCTTGCAACTAATTGGCTCATTACAGAAGTCACTTTCTACAAAAATGCCATTACAATGTTTCAATATTTCTGTTTTTAATTACGTTACCCGTATTTAATGCAATCATGATTTATCAATTCCGTAACTCATTATTATAATTGTAAATATTTTTCATATGCATTACAATAATAGTCATAATTCCTCGTTCATTTTACATCAGCATTTTCGATATCAAATCATTTAATATATATTTCATATTCATATTTCAAGTTATCTCATTCTCAAAATTAATGTAAACATTTTCGCAGTGTTTTAAATTTACATATAAAGAATATTGCATTACATTTTAAAAAGCGTAAGTTGTAAAGTAATATTCTCTCTCTTTTTACCACGAAGGTGTAATCGGAAGTATGTTCGACTAGCAATCAAGAGGATTGGCGAGGGTATTGCATATTTTTCATGTTTCCTTCTTCGATAAACTTTATGGCTCGACAAAGTGTTCATACATTATCAAAATCAGTTAATGGATTTAGGAAACGTAAGTACAGCAAAGTAAATTTTAAAACCGTAAAGTTATAACTTGATTTATTTTTCAATTAAAAAAAAATAGCACATATCCAAAATTCGATAAAATAATACGTAATTAGTAGTTTTCTCTCTGATGATTACATACAAATTCTTGCTGCAGAAATTAATTAGTCTCTTCACTGCTATAAAAATTAAGCATGCATTACTTACAAGTAAATCTTCTTTTAACTGAAAACATAAAATTTGCAAATGCAAAGCAAGTTAAGATAAATATCTAATTATTATACTAATTCATTTCGAAACACCAATTTATATAGCTTCAGAATAATCAAATCAATAGTATAAAACTGTCATTCCAAAATAAAACTCTTAATGTAAAATAGAATTTCGTGTGTGTGTGAGTGTGTGATTATGGCAAAGCCTCGAGGGCTATCTGCCTAAGGGAAGGGATGCCTTCGTGGAGGACTTTCTAAGGGAAACTGGCTCGTATACACGTTACACATGGGGAAAACCACGAAAACGCCCATGCAGCCAGCCCGTTCGCGGGATTCGAACCTCGGACCGAACTACCAGTGTTCAGCGACTTTACCGCTCGGCCGCTGGTGGGCCCCTTGTAAAATAGAAACTCCATAGCTAATTTATAAAGAACCAAATTAGAATTATAAGGTACTTTATTTAAATCTAAAACCCTTAGCGCATTTATCGATTTTGCATCATACATAAAATATGTTGTTCGCATTCAATAATAGGCAATAGCTTAATGATAAATCTTCAACTGTTTAATAATAACATCAAATCAATAATTAAAGGTAATAGCTTAAGATATTTTAAACTGCACTTTCAAAATGAAATATAACAAATTCATTTTTTTTTCTGATGAACGTGCATCAGATGTAAGCGGAAGCGGACGAATAACATCAGTACGCAAATGAAAGAAAAGCACATTTCAGACTTTCGTAAGCACTGATTTTTTTTAACTTTAATACATAGAGTATCTTATGAAATACTTCCTAAATCAGCTGCTGGGGTAGAAGATGATGCACGCACAAATGATAATAATAATACATATTCACACGCATAAAACGTTCTATCATTTTATCTATTAGAGAAAAACGCAAATGACATTAAATTACCTGGGTTTGACTTATTAAAATAACCATTATGTTATTTTGTTCACGCTGGGTTTAGCGTTCTGGGTCTACACGCGAACTAGCCTCAGCAAATATTTTGTGTACATTGCTGGAAACCAAGAAAGCGTGCTCACTGTGTGCCTTTCCCTGTATTCTGGACCCTCTAAACAACATTCTAGGAGAGAAAGAAAATGTAGTTCGGTAGTTGACAAAATAAATACCGGTGACAGTTATGGTTTCGAAGTTATCTTGGCCTTATTATGCAGCTACGGAATTCTCTCACACTTACACGGATCTGTGGTTTATCTGGATCCAGCGATGAAAAATCATTATTGTTACAGAATTTATATTTAGTTTTGCAATCCTCTTAAAATGATCGACATATTTCCTCAGCAATAACTGCTACGGCTTCTGAAGTTTAGCACACTACATATTAAGCTAAATTCAGAATATGTTTTAATAGTACTTTGCGCTTCAGGAGATGGAATAATACGCTTTAATTAGCGTGAATATAATTCCAGGTTATTCCAGGTTAGTACTTTTGTAGCACTTTTCGATTGTTTTCTTGTTTTTTTTATTATTAGCGGAATAAAAAGCTGCACATTTCAAATCGAAATAAAGTCTAATTGTTTTGTATTTTTTCCCCATAATATTTTATGGTTACTTTAAAACAATAAGCATATATTGATATCTTATAGCCGATTATTTGATAAAAGGATGAGCTATTTTTATAAATGATCAACGGCAGAATAATAACGAGACAGTCATATATCATCACTGTATATTGGTAATGCAAATAGTAAAACCTATCCCAATTTACTATTGCATACATTTATGGTAATTAATGAAAACACGTAAAAAATTTAGCGTTTCAAACAATGTCACTACATCTCGTAGAATAGAGAAGCACTGCAAATTTTGAAATCCCTTTAGTTAGGCGAGTTAATCTCGGTAAGTGAATGTTTTAAGTACCAACCTATTAAAAGCAACAACGCCGTTTTTTAACTCTTCAATAATGGGTCAGATACTTTACAAAATATCCAAGAAAGTTTGATTTTAGACTGATAATCTTGTACTTTAATATAAAGTGCAAAATAATTTGGAAACCTAATAAATAAGCTCGAAAGTTTGATTAAATTGAAACTTACAAATTCATTACAAATGCATTAAATTTTAATATTAATATTTAATTCATTGTGAATAGAAGAAAGTGCATTTCATAGGAAACTGTAATTTGTTTTAAAAGCTCAACCTATATTTGTATTAGCTCAAAGGAATATGTTACCATCAATATTTTTAGTCTTTACCTTAAAACATTAACAAATTTTCTTAAAGAAATTAGAAAACTTGTTCTGGAAATATTATTTTTATTTATGCTTTTTATATCAAAGTTTTCATGCAATTTTACCGCTGTTAAAAACAGTTATATTATGGGATGAAAGAAAAGAACTTAAATTAACTTTATAAGGTATTTTCTTTCTCCTTTTCCACGTTCCTTCGTCGTGTAAGCGGAAGCAAATCCGATGGGTATTCGGGAGGTCCGGAGTTCGAATCCCGGCGAGGGCAATGCGGATTTCTTCAGTTTCCTGACATTGGTAAAAAATCTGATAACTCTAACTTTCATTATAACTTCCAAGAGGAATCATGCAGCTAACTCTCCGTCAGCACACTGTGATTTAATGCTTCTATGGGTAGCATTTTTTTAATGTAAGTATGTGATTAAAATTTTACAGCTATTAAATTAAAATTTTGGAAACATTTTTGCAAAATAATTATTGCAATAATTTCTTTTATACTTTAAAGAGCCATCAGTTTTTTTTTCCGGATGAGAAACATTAAAACCCGACTAGGCTGTCACCGGGCTTCTAAATATATGAATATTGCTAAAATATTGCTAGACGAACGTGCAATAAGTTACATCACGACAGCAAAAATAAGAAAAGACAATAATTCCATACAGCCGAACAAATTTATGAGCATATCTATTAGAATCCTAGGTACGTTTTTTGCAGTATGCCAAAAGTCTTGTTAACTCTTATTTTAAATCAATCGAATTGTTTTTTTTTTCTGCTTCCTTCAATTTTGGGTCAGAAAAGTTCAATTAATATTAAGTTATTGTATGCATTTAATATGGTCGTGCATATACTTATACAATTAATACACTTAAGTGCGTTAGTCATATATAAATTGGATACCTTAACATACTTAAGACAACACTAAATTAGTTAATTGTAGCAACTTTTTAAGTTATCAAACCTAACCTTTCTCCAAAACATTCGAGTTACTCATCGTTTATGAGAAAAATAGCACAGGAAGAGGTGCGATATTATTAATCTCTCTTCAGACCACTATGCAATACTAAAAATAAAGTACTGTCTAATTTACATACTTAAAAAATCATGTGTTGATTTTCAAAATAATTACGCAATTATTTTGAAAATAATTACGTAATTATTTTTCATATTATTTATTACACATAAGCACTCTGATAAAACTTAAGTGTGAATACTAAACGAAAACTCTTTTTTTTTTTTTTTTTGTTCCTTTGATTAGAAGGTAAATTATTGTTTTGATTATATGGCTAGATAGTTCTCTTTATTAACTCAAATCATAATTATCATACCTCTCATATCTTAACTTTCAGTTAATATAAAAACACTGAAAGGAGATTAAATTTGTAAAGTTATTAGGTTTATTTCGGAGCAGAAAACAAAATCAGCGATACCTTCACCGAGCACGTTCGATGCTAGCCAGACGTGTACACCGATGTAGGTATGGGATAAGGAAAAAGAAATTTCCTTAGAATTTGAGTAAATTAATTGGATATTGAACAGTTATAAACTAAACAAGTCTTCTTGGAACTCGATGCGAACTCACAAAATTGTACTGCAATTGCTTTCTAGTTTCATTTTTCAGTGTAACTTATTTTATCAGGTTTCTGCACACAGAACAGGTATTGTACAATTTTGAAAAATCAAGTTCAACTTAAAATATATTACCTGTCTTACCAATCACTTTAATACAAAAATTAGCTGGAAATCGTCCTATATGGCCTTCTTTTGGGACTTTACATCCTTCAGTATACGTACTCATTGCTGGATGAAATGGATCATGGCAGTTCAAATCAGTTCCATTCCTGGAGCTGCATGTGTAACAACTTATTGCTACACCTGGAAACAGAGGAATTCATAACGTAAAATCCAAAAGATACATAATAGTATATAATATTCTATTATTCCATACGTAAAATTGCAAGGCATGATAATAAAAATTATTTTATTATTCTCAAATTTTTTAACTGTATTAGGGAAGTTAAACTGAAACTTATCCTGCACTATATTTTTCAAAAACTTAGATACACGAACATAATGTATATTAATTTAATATATTTTTAACCTAATATATTTCCTTTTTTTTCTTGTGAGAATGTATGTATGAAGTTCTGGACGAATGTTCCTTAAGAATGCTTAAATATCCCAATAGTCATAGTCCTAATATGTAAAAGTAAATATGTAAAGCTAATATGTAAAGCTTGTAGGGTCGGGTTCTTTATGAAGACATAAAATGTAGACCCTACTGAAGACGAGATTGCGAATTCTCGCTATGTCTTGAAAATCAAATGACTGCGACCGAAAGTTATAACAGCCTTTTTATTTTGACTAAACTGAACATAACATCCACCCACTCTTGCTTATAACTAACCACCACTTATGGCTAAGTAACTAACACAAAATAGTATGTACGATCAGAATGAATTAAATTTAGTACACGACTGGCTCTTACTTCATTCTAAATAGGCTTTATAGGCTGCACACAACAAAGCCAAATCTAAAATATCAATATTATCTTACGTGAGTTAGTGACTAGGACAAATATTCAGCTACAGAGCTACTTGCAAACACGCGGCATAAACTCGTTCTCGGCTTAGCCCGCTGTATACCCGTAACTAATTCTTCTACTGCGAACTCTTCAATTCTGCTACTTATTTCGAACTCATTGAGAATTTGCATCTACGCCATTTAAATTTGCCTTCTGGCAGGAAACTGAAGTCAGAAGGGAAAAGAAAGTTGAATAAAATTTTAAAAAATTTATTAGTACAAAATAAGGTATTTACAAGCTTTGTTACCGAATCTAATCAGGAAAGGTAAATTTGCGCAAACATGAATCAGTCTATGTTGTGTAACTGTTCGATGGTTTGATTAATATTTAATTTTTGTAACTGATAATTTTTATTTAAATTTGTTTAATTGAAAGTTTTGATTTGAGATGTAATTGTTTTACTCAAGTTGTAATGACTACTCTTTATTATCTTTTAATGAGAAACTTAGCTTTAATTACTATTTGAAAATTTACTTCAAGTTTTGTTAGGTTTTATTCTTTATAATTAATTGTTGTTTGTTTGGTACCCCTTAAGAGTTTTCTAATTATAAATTTTGATTTTATGTCTAATTTAAATTGTGTTTTAATGTTCCTCCGTCCTTTCCGTAAAATTAATGAATCTTTATTTTCTGGGTCAACTAGTATTTTTAGACAATTTGTAACTTAATAAAAAATTTTATGCAATAGGAAAGAATTTGGCACTTAGAAATGTTCGAAACTATTTTTGTATCTAAAGCTGTAAGCTGTATCTAAATTCCAGAATTTGTCTGCAATGTTCTATCATTCGTTTTGAAGGGGGTTCGACTTTGACTAAATGTACTGGAAAAACATCTTGTCTAGTAGAAATGGGACCTGGCTGAGAGGCTAGCAATTTGTATGCTTTCACCCTACAGCGCGTCCACTGATGGGGGCGAAAATTGGGGTTTCCAGAGTTCCCTGATAAATGAGGGTTGGTGATGAAATTAGAGAGTGAAATACGCTGTTTTTGAAAAGCGGGGAGATTTGAAGACATACGTGCCGACGGAGGAGCCGTGACAGCCGATAAACATGTTGTTTCTCACATCTACTTAATAGGACCCATGACATGTAATACGCTATCACTCAGTTCTCAAGAATAACAAGGGAATACGGTAATAAAAATGATCTTTTCTATTATTTTTGCGGCATTGTAGTTGGTGATGTCCAGAACTAATTCTTTCATTTAAAATTGTACAGGTTGCAAGCTCAACTACAACTTCCACGAGAACATCAGGAGAATATTGAGATTGAAATGATCGTCCTTAAGGTGCTTGCAAACTCGTCAGACAGAACTTTTCTTTCTATGATTTCTTTCCTACAGCTAGAAGTTCCATTTTCGTAATTCCAAGCACCCTTTCAAGCATTTTCCCTCGTTACTTTAATCCACGAAACAAGTGCCAGAAATGCGAAGTTTTTAGCCGGCAAGATCCAAGCTCAACATACAGAGCATAGTTTCGCAGACAGTACGGGCAGCTACGAAGATTTTTCGTCGCAGCTACAAACAAATTAGCCAGGAAAATCTGGACACGTAGACCGTGATCTTAAGAAAAGGCTCACCTTGTCAATGACGGGAACAACTGTCAGCCTTTAATTATCCACATGCGACTGAATTCTTCAAAGACCGCAACGACTGTGAATCAAGTTCTTTTTTCGCCGGGAAAACTGGACTCGCAGACCGATGCCGCCCGAAAGCAGTAAGCCTTACTTCTATCTCTCCCCCCTTTATTTGTAGTTTGCAATAAGGTGAAAAATCGTTCCTGCCTTTCGTGAAATAATTTTTAAAACCTCGGCTTCTCTAAATTAAGACCACCTCAATTAAACTCACCGTAGGCTCGATTTAGCTATTAATTAATATCTACAATTCAAATTCTTTTAATTCTATCCACCCAACGAGGAAAGGGTAATAATTTCCAACCATTTCTCTAAGAAAATTTTAATCCGCTTTTAAAAATGACATACCCTTTTCTCAAGTAAAATTTGAAGAAATATTTTTAACCGTATTTCTGTCAAAACTTTGAAAAAGGCAGTGATAAACAAATCAGAAAATTGTCCACTTCAGACGAAGCCGAAGTTTTCTCACCTCCCACGAGCGAAACACGTGTACAGTTTTGATAGTTAAGGGGGAGAAGGGAAATACAGCTGTCCGCCGATCTATGACCCGAAGAGATAGTAGCCTGGGAAAGAAAACTCCCCCGATTTTCAGCTGTACAATTCTTTTCACCAGCTTTTTAAGAAATGTAGCGCATTCAATCGAAAATTGTGTTTAAATGATGATACATTAAATATATTAAGAATTAGTAAAATTCATTATACACTGTAAATTAATACACACAATCTTAGAAGTCTTCAAAATGCTTGCTCTCTATTGATAAGCAGTTATGGAGTGCTATTGCGTGAACTAAGTAAGCCATCGTTCTCTACGCCTAAAGGCTTAGGAAAGCTCTCGAGCGGGCTTCCTTACAGTCATCTTCTAACAGGACTACAGCGTTTGACTCTTCTTCGACACTCGAGACAATGGTTTTTCTTCTTTGACTTTCGAAGATCGGTGTTGGTGTATTTAATTATGGCAAAGCACACGAGGGCTATCTGCCTAAGGGGAGGGATGCCTTCGTGGAGGACTTTCTAAGGGAAACTGGCTCGTATACACGTTACACATGGGGAAAACCACGAAACGCCCATGCAGCCAACCCGTTCGCGGGATTCGAACCTCGGACCGAACTAACAGTGTTCAGCGACTTTACCGCTCTTTCGAAGATCGGACATCATCACTTTTTTAGGGGTTTCGGCCCTGTAACACTTTTACCAATATAGTTCTCGTATCGTCTAGGGCAATAAAAAAATTTGGGTTCAAAAAGTTCTGAAAAAGGAGCAATATCTTTGTAATGTGAAACGGAGATAAAAAGCCAAAAATGGCACATGTATTTCGAAAGTAAAAGAAAGTCAAGTCGGAGTTATCTTCATAGGCTAGAGTATTACATCTCGGCTATGCTTGCGAGAGAAAACATTAACTTAGTTTACATCTTAGCAAAGCTGATAGGGACCCATGCTGCTTTGTTATTTTCAAAACTTTTTTATTGCTTGCTATATCGGTTAGATAAAATAATAGAGTTGAAGCCATTTGTGTATAAGCTGTTCTGCTTCCTAAGTCTGAGCTCCATCTCTAGTGTAATGTACTTTTGGCTTTCTTGATTTTCTGAATGGATATTTTTAAATTTTTTTTTCATTTTCTGGTCTTTGAACTAGTCAAGTGCTTCGTTAAAATTGAGAATAGCTTTCTCTTCGCTGTTTAATTTTTCTGCATGAGTTATGTTTTCGGCATTATATGACTAGACTTCAGGTTTGCTGATTAGGGATGGGAAATTTTCAGTTCTTAAATCAGATTTTTTTTTTTTTTTTTTTTTGGCTAAAAGGTTTTTCATATCCACAGATTTTTTAAAATTTGTTTGCGTGTGTGTGCATGTGTTGCTTGCAACCTCTATAACTGCTAACATATTTCTTGCAACAAAAATAACACGTCCATTTATCTTCAGATTTCTTTGGGGCCTTATAGCGGGCTGTTCTTATTTATATGATAGTGATACAGTAAAATCTTTAGTAATTACTTTAAGTTTCTTTTGTGCAATTCGAAGATTGTTTACTTTATTTTCTCTCAGCGAAGTGTTGATAAACTCTGGTTAATTAAGTGCTATACTTGAATCTGAATCTACTCCGAGAAATGAGACGAGAGACAAGAATTGGAAGTGTTAAAGCCCTTACTTAGGTAAGAACAGAATACTTGCCTTAAGTAATCTGGTGTAAGTTATGAAAATTCAAAATAAACATCAGCAAGAACAATATCGTCCTATTTAGAAGGTATTGTAAAAATCAGCCAGTTAATATTAACATTACAGTAGATAACTCTCCATTCCAGTTGTCAGTTCAACAAAATATCTAGGAGTCATTCTAGATGAACAATTAAAGTTTAAAGATCATGTGGCATATGCTTTAAACAAAGCCAACGACGTCGCCTTCATGTCAATCTACGATTTAATAGGCAGAAAAATCAAAATTGAATCTCAATATTAAAATAACTTTACATCTAGCGCTAATTCGGCCAATACTTTTTTATGAAGCTCCGTGTTGGGCCACCGCGCCAAAATATTATCGTCGCAAGATCATCGTCCTCCAAAATAAAATCCTTAGAAACCTAACAAACTCACCGTGGTTTGTCAGAAATCAACAGACACGTCAGGATTTAAAAATTCCTCATGCCCAAGATTATTTACTGATGACC